TGAAATTTAAAATATTTAAAAGCATTAAAATTTATTAAGTCGTAAACTCAAATCGTACTCTAAATCTCAGAAATAATTATAACAAAAAGTTTACATCAAATATGAAACACAATAATAAATAAGATTTCAATAACAAATAAGATTTCGTCACAGTTTCATAATAATTTATTAACAAATAATATTATTAAAAATTAAAACAATATTACAAATATTAATGGCAATCATATTAAATGCATTAGTGCTTTTACTCAAAGTATTGTGTTTCTGTGCAATGTTACTTTTATCACAATATTACCATGCATTACATCTGTTTTTCTAGATTGTCCGTTTCTACTTCGACTTCAAAGAATGCACTAAAAATTGATCAGTGCATAAACAATAATAGTTTGATTAGTTTGCTTAGAATACTTACTAAGTATTATACTTAGTAACATAATTCTGATATAGATCTTCTACCTCTCTTATTCCTTGGGCGAGATTTGATGCTTCAGAGAAATAATTTCAAAGCGAACATTCCGAATTTATCAAACTTATTGAGCATTGAGAAAGGTATTGCACAGTCTTGTTATAAACCCAACACAATCAATTTCTTTTCCGAAAAGGTTATTAGTTTTCTCTTTTCACACATTTTAAAAGTGATTCGAATGCTTCGGGCCAGATGATTGCTTTCAACAGCATTAATTAGGTGAACCACCTATCTTCCTCTAATAAAAACATATTCATCACTCCACTTATAATTTAAAAATATATGTATATATATATAATATTTATATAATTATATATACATTAATAATTATTTATTTCACCTTAATTATATATTGTTTTCAATTAATAGTTTTAATTAATATTTTCTAAATTATTATACATTATTTTTAATACATTATTAAATAAATAAATTAAAAAATTTCAATTATTTTAATTAATATTTCAAAAATGAAATTCTCATATGATTTTAACGGATGACTGGAATTTTGCAATATATATTCAGTTAACATATATGATAGACCGAATTTTTAATTTGGCTGCGGTAAAACTGAAGTCGTAAAAATTTTTGCGAGTAAAGCCTAACTCTGAAGGTTTTAAGAGCATTGTTGTTGTTTTTTATATTTTAATAAGTTGCGAGTATTTTTTTGCTACTGTGAAAGAAAAACTTACGGCTAATAATGCTAAAATATATAAGATTTCATAAAAAATGCAAATCAGTAACATAACTGGGTAAATAATCAAGAGAAATGTTTTAAATCAATAAATAGGATTGATAGTAAATTCATATAACTGAATAATATTACATATAACATCAATTGAACGCAATATCTTAAAATTAGAGCAATAATCGTATCATTGAAAAGTAAGAGCTATTCATAACTAATAGAACACTTAACTATTTTTCAGCATGAATATAATTCAATTCAATATTTTTCAATGAAAGTAATGTTGAAGTATTTCATTATATTTTTTTGATATTTGTGAAAATATTTTATTAAATTGTAAATAAAAAAATCGCACTTCTCACAATGTTGAACTAAGGACGTTCAATGAAAATTTCAATAAATATTATATCGAATACTTTATATTTATGTGATCAGGTGATAATAAATCAAACAAATCACATATCGTATGTATTCTGTTTCCCTTTCAATTGCAGGAATATTGACAGTCTCATAAAATATTTAATAAAAAATTTTTATATAAAAATTTCACACCATTTTCATACCAATACATAATGCAAATTTTACATTTCTATGCTCATCCCTCATAATTCATTTCTAGCACATGTTCAAATGAGCAAATAATGATGCTATTTAAATATTATTTTCACTTCATTGCGCAAATTGGGCGCATAAATTGTGCCACATCTCAGTATGAAATACATGAGAAATTCGTTATTGACTAAACAAATACACAAAAGGTAACCAGGAGCAGTTACCACTGTTAACGTTGAAATACAATTTCAGTTGTAAATATATATTCAGTTAGATGTTTACAAAATAAATTTAAATGATGCTTACCGAGTATTATTTTGTTTAGGGGCTTATTACCGTGCTCCTGCAACGGATAAATGTCACGAAACATAAATGGAAAAGCTTCCAAAACCATAATGAAACTATACAGGAGCATGGAATTATAACAAACTTCGATACTTTTTGCAATATATACATATATATACTTATATATCTATCAATATTTTGTTATCCTTTTTCCATTGCAAGATGCGCTAAAGTATTGATGGAAAACTATAGTACATTCAAAATGAAAATTGGAAATGACTAAGAAGTAAGGTTTTTAGTTGTTTACTTTAAAACTGTAACGAATTGAATAATTCTATTAAATTTTCTTTCCAAAACTCATATTGTGTAGAAGGTTTCCGTTCTATTATAATCAATTTCCGTTTGAGGAAAATATTTCAAATTGTAGAAAACAGCTTTGATAAGAGATAAAGAAAATGTGTTCGCACATGTGAATGCGATGTCTGTTTATTTTTTATTGTATTTTATATTATTTTATTTTACTCTACTTTATTTTATATATATTTTTTTTAAATTTTCTATATATTGACAAAGTAAATATATTTTAACAAAAGTGCTGCTTCTCGCTTTGTGCTTTGTATTGCTTGTACGAGTTTAGTAGAGACTGTATTCTTATATGAAAATAATATTGTGTTTACTCTGCGATTGCCTGTAATCATTTTTAAAAAAATATTTCATATAATTTAATACTTTGAAAGAAGTACAGACAGAATTCAATACAATAAATAAAATCAAATCAAATAAAGAAAAATATTCCCTAATAAAATGTACTCTCTTCGCATATAAATCATTCGCATCAATTACTTTGAACAAAAGTGGAACAAACCAAAATAAATATGAAAATATTAAAAAAAAGGACTCGTCCATATTAAGTTTTGGCATAGAACCAAAGCAATTGTTTTTTCTCTATTTTACTATTCATTCAGTTTGGTGAAATATTTGACCTCCTTGTGGAAACGTGATTTCCTTTTCGAAATTACATGTGTAACCATTGATAGTTACTTGGTAGGTATGTGCGAATGTGTTATATGTATGTGTTCTTTTGTACATATGTACGCTTGTTGATATATCTGTTAGATATCAAGGAGCTCTTATATATCAAAAATTGTGTCAGTAAAATCTGTATATCTCTTGACATTATTGATGTGACATTAAATCCTCTTAGCGTGTTGCTGCGTTTACGAGTTCAACCAAATCCTTTATTTCCGTAAAGAAACTAAATCCTTTTTGGTATGTGGTTTTTGGTTACTGATGGTAATCGTTTATGTTATCCTTTGTAAGTTACAGTATATCATTAGCTTTACATTTACTTTATTTGATTTAATGCTGAGGTCTTGTTTATCTATTTTGTTTTTATTTTTATTTCTTATATTTTTTATTTTATTTTTTATTTTTATATATATGGGTGAAACAAATTTTTGTTGTCCAAATTTTGATATTATGAATTCGTGTCTAGGATTTTGTAATAAGATTGTCCTAAATATTGATTAAAGTAACAAAGTCAAACATTTTTTATTTTATTATTCATAAAATGGTTAAATGGATTTAAATATTTGCATGCTTTTAACAAGATTTAAGATCTATATTTGCATGAATTTTTGTTGCCGTAATAAAAAACTAATTCTTTTTATGAAACCTGTAGTCTAGACTACATGTAAACTTTTTAAATGTGATGTGTGGTTTTTACCATTATTATTTGGTAATCAACGATATAACGATGTTTGAAGTATAGTGGGTAGTTAATTAGTAGTTTCAAGATTGCTGCTCAAGCATGTCGCATAAAAAAAATCTGAGTATATTGGTAAAGTTGAAATCAACTACCATTAAAGTGAGTGAAGTTGAAATGTCATAAGTATCTAGTAACATCAAGTATAGTTTTAGTAGTTAAACTTTATTGTATTGGATGATCATATTCCAAATTGAAGTAATGCCAATATGTTTGGGAAAGCATAATATTTGTAGTAAGATTAGAGTATAAATCATAATTACATAAAATTTCCTTTCCAAAGAAAGCTCTTTTTCTTTTTTAATGCTTTAATGAATATTAGTAGTCTTTCGGTTGATTGTAAATCCTGAAATGATATAATCGCTCTTGTAGCATTTTATTCTTTTAAACTAGTGGTTACCAACCTGTGGTTCGCAAAATGGCTAAAAATAGGTCGTGAATCAAATTTAACAGATATGGATACATGTCTTGCAGTTTTTTCACTGAGACCTCACTTATTAAAAAATAAGCACAAATAATATCTATGCAATTATATATTTATTTTTTTATAGCCCATATAGTGCACCTATGCACTTATACAATTCATAATACATTACCAGAGATGCATAAAGCATGTTAAAATATTTATACCGTTTATTATTCTTAAACTATTCCCTACTAAAAAGAAATATATCATAGTGGTGCTTACTTGGAACCAACTGTTTTAATCAATTTTGAGTAATGAAATCTGATATTTAACTGATCTTATTACAATAGGCCTACTAAGTACCTAAATGAGGTGCTTATCATGTATGAGTTGGATTTGCTATATTTATTATAAACAAATACCTTTAGGAATATTTTCTGATTATATATATCATAATCATATCTCTACAGTACAAAAAAATTGAAATTGAAATACAATATTGTATTATGTGAGGCTAGTACCATATAAGTGGAACAAAATCTGTAATGAATGTTAATAAAGAAATGATTTGCCTGTACGATCATATATATATATATATATATGTATATATTCCGAAAAATTATAAATTACAGTGAAAACTTAAGTGTTTTATTTATTTAAGTTCATTTTTATCTATTTTAAGTTTCTGCTCATATAGGTATAATTGCATTTTAAAAAAAGAATAAACTCGACATAATTTTTAATGTAATATCATTCACATCTGCCAATTATTTGTAATGTGGTTATCTCATAATTACCTTTAAGATTAATTAAATAAAAAGCCATAAAAATGCTGGTATGGTGGTCATTTATTATAAATTTTTACTAATGTTCATGGTATAATTATCACATCATATATAAGTTTATCATATGTTTCATTAATGGTTTCTAAATACATATATAGATATATTCTTGCGCGCATATATAATTTCCTCATCTCTGAATACTAATAATTTAGTTCATTTTAAAAATTATAAATATAAGTGCATTCTTCTAACATATATTGTATTTATATCGCTGATATTATTTCCTTATTGTTTCTAATACTCTTACGTACAAATATGTTTAAGGACAATTGGTTTTTCTACAAAAACAACCATAAAAAAAGACATTTTAAATTGAAGGTGGTTAAACTTGAGTGAAATTTAATTTCGAATTATGTTCTTAAATAATTTTAAATTCTTGAGATAATTAAAATTACTATCTGTTAAGAAAAGGTATGCTATAGTTGTGAAATATTTATACAAAATGTAACACTTCTGTCTGGGTAACATTAACAAAATTCATTGTCTTATCAAGTTTTTTAATTTTGAAAAAGCAATTGTCCTTTACAGTTACTATATTCCTAAACATTAACAATTCAGTTTCATAAATAATAAAAATTAATTAAGTCTATTATATAGTTCTTCTTTCCTTACTTTCAATTAAAAAAATTAGAATTAAGACACAACTGAAAAATACAAAAGTAAAAAAAATTTAATAAATGCATTCACCTAGTAAATCGCATTTCCCTTTTTCAAGTGGTTTTAACCAGAGTGGATTATAGTTTGGACAAAGTTTACGGTGAATGGGAATTTTAATTTGTACCGGCGTGATGGGTGCACCTTCCCAATTGTATCCCTCGAACCGGAAACCATCAGACTTATTGCACTGCATGCTAAGTGGTTCCTGTATATACATCGTGTAAAGCTGATCGACGCGTGGCTGCGTCCACTTAATACTGTGATAATTTTTGGAACGTGCTCCATTTAAGTGAATATTCCGTTGATGTTCTTTTCTACAAAAATAAAAAGGAAACAAAATGTGTTTGAATTTAGTTTCATTTGAAAATAAATAGAAATTTTTAAAGTTTTATATTGTCGCAGGATAATGAACCATGCAGTCAGATCTTAAGCAAAAAGCAGCTGTTTAAATTGTATTAACTGCAGCTAAGCTCTTAGAAGAGATTATCATTATATACAATATATCTATGTATATACATTTATTCAAATATAAATTTTTAATTGCTTTGGAGGATTAAGAGCTTAGTTTGATTGTAATATGACCATAAATTAGTGGGTTAGCTTAAATGCATTGAAACTTTTCAGTGAATTCGTTTTAATGGAGCTATCAAAGTTGTATGTGGAATATACTTGTTGTTAAAGAGTATTATATCATGTTTTTGAAAATGCATTTATTTTGATGAATAAACTATTATTTCATTTCAATTTAAAACCTTTCCTTTTGATCAAATTTTTTTAAATGTATCAATTTTCAACTTTGAAAACTCGAAGCAATCGTTGATAAGATCATATTAGTTTGTAATGGATAGTATTATTGCAATTCCATCAAATATGTAGGCCTCATCTTCTTATAATCAATACTGACTTTGCTGCCGTTAGTGAAATTATGTTTAGTCTGATCAACAACACTTTCATATAATATTATCATAAGTAAGTTACTTTTCTTATAATTTTATTTTCTTGCTGGTAGCAATTATCTATGAGTTTTTTTTCTGTAATCAGCTTTATGATTTATAACAGCATTTTGATTTTTTTTATTCTATTCCCTTGGAGATTTAATGATACATTTATAATTTTTTTAAACGGTACTGTAAAAAGCTTATTACCATTGTTGGCTTTATTCATATATTTTAAAGGTGAAGGCGAAGGAAGCATGTTTTGATAGAAATTGCAATATAATAACTTCTTCATAAAGGGCAGAATCTTTTTACACCGTTTGTATTTATTTGTGATTACGTATCGAATTTTTAAAATGATTACTTATAATTATAAATGTATTGCTTGTCAAGAAAAGAACGCCTAAATGTAGATAAACATTTTAAAGTTGTGACATGACATTTTTAAGTCTAACTGTTAAGGAGCAATTAAGGAGCAATGATAAATTAACAATTTAAAACAATAATACAACTTGTTTTTTTCAACAATAAATATTTAATATCTTTAATTTAATCTATAATTTAATATCTAACGATATACACCGAATACTTTTTACCCAATCCAGTTCATAGAGAATTAAACAGAAATTATGAATTAATAATTTAAAACAATATTACAATTTATTTCTATTAACAACAAAAATTTAATACCCGCATAACCAGGATTTAATAAATCAATGCCATATGGATTGAGTTGGGAAAGAATAAAAGAAGGTGAGCATTCAGAATACTAATGAGATTACAAAAAAAAAGAAGCATCGGAGGTATCTAAGCATTTCAATGTTGTGACATTTAACTATCAGAGGAGTACACGCCGTATAATTTTTATCCAACCCTGTCTATACATTTTAATTAAATTTAAGAGCAATTAAAAATTAAGAACTAGAAAAAAGTAATAATTTATTTTTAATTATAATAAAGACTAATTATCAATAACTCAGATATAAGAAGTGAGTACATTTGAGAAAAGTGGAGAAATGGAAAAGTTTTACTTATACTACGTTTTTGGAGTTTAACCGAGTTGGAGTTTAAAGTTTAGACTTTCCTACAATTTACTATATTATTTATATGCAGTTTACGATTGTTAGGATTGGGAGAAATTGATGTTTCCGTATCCACAAATTTTTTTAGTTTACAATTCTTTTTCGAACATACGAGTACTAGTACTTAGTGACAACCCGTTGTTTGAGTATTGCTCGTCATCTTAAAAAGAGTAAATTGGTAACATATTATGACAAGGGTTGCCATTACGACGTTGACGTTAGGTAATATTTATTTAAATTAAATAATTATCCGCATATTAAGCTGAACTAATTTGCATCTAGAGTTGTCCGCTTTACAGCTATACATTGTTTAATATGTCTGTTAGATTTTAAGAGTACTAAAGAGTTTTGGGTGATGCTATTATTGAAGTCTATCATTTACTTTTTCTATGTAGTAAATTGCGTTAAAATAAATTGGGTAGTATGTTTTTCAATGTGACCTTCAATATGCTTATTTCTATGTCCTTTATTGAAGACCAAGAAAATACTATATATAAATTTAAAGCTCTTTGACCTTAGTTTTTTTTAAGTTTAAAGATGTTCATATTTTGTGACACAGTATACTTTAACTTATGGTCTTTCAATGTATTGATTTCAACTATGTACTTTAAGTTATGGTCTTTCAATGTATTGATTTCAACTAAACACTTACTCAACTCCTCAATGGAAGTGCAACCAATTAATATAAGTTATTTCACTGTCACAAACGGAAGCGAAATTGTATGAAATCTTACTCTTTTTTAGTTGTATTCCAATAAATGTTTTTAAAAGTTTTGTGTTGTTTTTATAAATTTGTCAAATCTTACTTTTTCATGTAAATGAAATAATTCTCCAAAGTATCTTCGGAAACTGAACTTTTGCAAACTTCTAACTTTGTTGCCGGATAGTAGTGAATGTAGTTGACACACATTTCGTCGCTTATGGAGAACCCACCAAGAGTTGCATTTTCATAGCCGATGGTGTTGTAATAGCAAGTTGTGACTAAAGCATCTCCCTAAAGTATTAAAAAAATGAGAAGAAAACAAAAAATAAAATTAAATATATGAAATAAGAAAATAAAATTTTATATAAACAGACAGAAAAGTAGATTTTCATTTGGGAATAACTCAAATTGTATTGGAAAATAAATGAAATAAGACATTTTTTATGTCTTAACTGAAAGAAGACTTTTAGCAGTTTTTTTTTTTGTATACTACACTCTTATATATATACTTTTTGTTGTGTGCAATGGAAGCTGCAACTGATTAAGCTACTTAAATTGAAATTGAAACTGCAAGTAATTAAAGTAATTTGCTAAAAATAGCTAAACAAGTGATAGCGCAAGGATTGCACTTAATCTGCAAATGTTTCAAGTTTGTCCTGTTGAAGGATGTACATTTCAATCCAGTCAAACTTGAGACAACTTTATCAAATAATTTATTTCTACACGGTAATTTATTTTGAGTTTCTTTTACGACATTGTAGTGAATTCCTTTTAGTAGATAATATTGCAAATTACGTTTCCTTTTCATCATTGCAAAATGATTTCCCTGCTCTATTTTCAAATAGTTTTAGTTGCAAAAAAAAAAAATGAAAAAAGTAGAATGGAAACGAAAATTCCAGCAAGTATAAAAAGCATTCTTTGTAAGTTGAAGCATTTTTCCTGCTGCAGGATATTTATTCAATTCACTTGTTTGACACTTTTGTACCAGTGCTGAGAAGCAAAAATATCTATGCTTGACTTGAGAGCATATTCCGAAATTCACACAAGAGGATTGAAGTGAAAATTGCTTAAAAAATTGCTGCAAATTATATAAGCATTTCGTTTCTCTGCTTCTTTTTTTTTTTTGATTAAGTTGCTATGCTAAAGACACGATTTCCGTGAGTGTCGTAATGAAATGAAATCAATATTGTAAATAATTTAAAGTGTGAAGAAAAAAAAGAATGTAAATGGAAAGAAGAAAATATTCTTTTACACTGACTTACCGGTAGAACGCGCGGTTTATAATGCAAATTCCTCATCTCCTGAAAGTGATGTGAATAGTAATCATCTCGATTTATTTCACGTAACTCTTCGGTACCACGGAAATGACGTGTGAGTATACGTACACCACGTAAATGTGTATGTAGTTGAGAACCGAATATGACGATGCCAGTACTTGGTAAGGCCTAACATGTAAAAGAAATAGAAAAGCGTGACAAAATGTTTGTGTAAACCTTTTGTTTTTCCTTTTTTTTTTTTGGAATGTAAATAGAATTAGGTCAGTACAAGCATACAAAGACAACTGCACGGCATGTTGTAGCTTTTAGTAGTAGTAGAAAAACAGTCCAAAACATAATCATAGCTGCATACATTCAGATTCACATTCACACACAATACATACTAGTCAGTCAATCAATTGATTGTATTTTTACTTACAACTTCAGTACATTCAGAAATGCAATAACCATTCAATGGAAATCCCACTTGACCTGGCGGTATTGCCATTTTGTCCGTGTATTCAAGTCCCAGTTCCATTACACCAGCATCATATTGTCGCAGCTGTGAGACCATTTTTATGCGCATACCGGAACTATCGACGTGATCTAAAGTGAGGGGAAATATTTAATAGCACATTAACACGTTTTTGAGATTAAGTATTTTGCTAAAAAATTTAATAAATGTGTTAATTTTTTAATAAAATCTTTTAATTTGTTTTTTCTTTTTGTATTCTTTTATATATTTTTTTATATTTTATATAAAACGACTGCACAAATTTTATAAAAACATTTCATGCCTATAAATAGAACACCACCTCCGGTAAAAGAAGGTGGTACACACCAATTAAAAAGTGAAAATTCACCAGCAGATGTTGGAACTAAACAAGTTCAAAGTTTAGAAAAAATGAATAAACAAAGTACAGACATTGCGACTTTACTAAAGGTTTCTCAGCGAGAACGAGCAGGATCTATGAGCGAAATCCATAACGCCAAAATTGATTTTCCGTGCAGAAAAGAAGAATGGAACGAAGTTAAAGGCAGTAAAAGACTTAGAGACAGTCCTGAAAAAATGAAAAAACCAAAGCAACAAAAATTGAACTACTGGCTCAGTAATTCGAATAGATTTGATGGACTGGTAGTGGAAGAAAAAGAAGACCAACCTGCTATACAAGAGGAAAAACCGCTTAAATCACCACCAATTTTTGTAGATAAAGTTGAGGACGTTCGCCCACTTTTAAATCTGCTTAACGAAATTGCAAATAATAAATATGAAATGAGAGTGATTTCATCTACTCGGGTTCGTATACAGCCCGGTGCACCGGAATTTTATTCAAAAATCGTTAAAATGCTAGAAAGTAAGAACACGGAATTTTATACATACAAACCTAAAAATGAAAGGAGCTTTAAGGTCATATTAAGAAATATGCATCCCTCCGTCGATATTGGGGATATAAAAACAGCTCTAGAAGAATTTGGACATGCTACTACAAATATATGGAATATGAAACATTGCCAAACAAAAAGGTCCCTTCCAATGTTCGTTGTAGAAATAGAGCAAAAACCAAATAACAAAGATATCTACAACATTAAAAGCTTACTCCACAGTCGAGTTACCTTTGAGCCACCCCATTTTAAACGTGAGTTACCTCAATGCTCAAGATGCCAACACTATGGCCACACTAAATCAGGATGTAGAAGACAACCCAAATGCATTAAGTGTGCTGGTAATCACGCATCGGCTGACTGCGAAAGAAAATCCAGAACAAATGATGTTAAATGTGTTCTTTGTGAAGGTAACCACCCAGCAAACTACAAGGGCTGCTTAGTGTATAAAAAACTGCAAGCGTCTACTTTCCCACCACTTAAAAAAAAATTTCTAAAACCTGATGCTGAATTTGTATCCTCAACTAATCAGCATCAAGAACAACACGAAAAACAGCAAACTTTCGCTCAACCTGCACGCGCTCAACCAGTTCAAACTACTCCAAATAAAAACTCTCAGCAAACTTACGCTCAAGTTGCTGCCAACCAAATAGATCAAATTTCTTTCAATAAAAATAATCTTCACAGCGATGCATTGGTGAGTGAAATGAAAGAAATGATGAAACTAATGCGGGAAGTAATGAATCAAATAACTACCATGACAAATCTTTTAGTAAGTCTTGTTTCTAAACAAACCATATGCCCATAAAGCTCGTCTTATGGAATGCCAATGGGTTGTCAAAACATTCCTCTGAACTGAGTTTATTTCTATCAAAAAATAACGTAGATGTATTATTAGTTTCAGAAACTCATTTCACAAAAAAAAGTTTTTTTAAAATTCCATCCTATTGTTTCTATCAGTCTCCGCATCCGGACGGAAAAGCTCATGGAGGCTCTGCAGTATTAATTAAAAGAACACTTAAACATTATGAATGTACTCACTATAGCACTGATGAAATCAAGCCACAAATATTATGATCGAGGACTCAGTCGGACCAATTCTTATATCTGCCATATATAGCCCACCAAAACATAATGTGAAGGAAGAAATCTACACAAAATTTTTTTCAACATTAGGGAATCGATTTATAACTGGTGGCGACTTCAATGCGAAAAATATATTCTGGGGATCACGACTAACCACAACAAAGGGACGTGAATTATACAAAGCAGTGAGACTCTTGAAACTTAAAGTTTTTTCCACAGGAGAGCCCACATACTGGCCATCAGATACAGATAAAATTCCTGATCTTATTGATTTTTGCGTTACCAAAGGCTTCCTTTATGAACATGTGCAATGTAAGACCAGCTTAGATTTATCATCGGACCATTCACCAGTGATTGTAATAATAGATAAAGACCTTAGAAACAAGATCCAAAAATGTCAATTATACAACAAGCAAACAAATTGGCCTATATTTGAAACAATGTTGTCATCGTCTCTAAACGTCAAAATGCCACTAAAAACTGAAGAAGATATAATTGAAGCGACTGAATACCTAACCAGATCTATTCAAGAGGCAGCATGGGAAGCTACTCCTCCTCCAAAAGTCTATATGAAGAATCTAGTAACGTATACTGGGGAGATCACAAAAAAACTAAAGGATAAACGAAATGCTAGAAAAATATGGCATCGCACCAGATTTCCTGAAGACAAGAGGAAACTTAACAAAATTATTAAAGATCTAAAGACTCTGCTGAAACGACAGACGGAACAAAATACGCAGAAGTTCTTACATAGCCTCGACACGTCTCACTTATCTCACTATTCTCTATGGAAAGCAAATAAAAAAGTAAATAATACAATAGATTATCGACCCCCACTTAAAAATACAGATAATACTTGGGCGAAAAAACCGTCTGAAAAAGCTCAACTTTTCGCAAGCCATCTAAAAAACGTTTTTATTCCACATGATATGACTGGCGATTCAGAAATAGAAGTCAATGTTTCCAAATTTTTAGAAGAAACTCACCAAATGGAGTTACCAATTAGGAAATTTAAAAAACGAGAAATAATTTCTACAATTAAATCTCTTAAAAATCAAAAGGCACCTGGTTATGACCTCATAACTGCCGAAATTCTTAAAAAACTTCCAGATGTTGCTTTAATATTTATTACTCATCTTTTCAATGCATCCTTGTTAAAAAGTTTCATCCCTGATCAATGGAAAGTTGCCGAAATAAAGATGATACTAAAACCAGGGAAACCAGCTGAAGATGTAAAATCCTATCGTCCAGTAAGTCTCCTTCCCATTCTTTCAAAAGTTCTTGAGATATTATTTTTAAAACGTCTTATGCCGGTAATCGAGTCGAAACGAATAATTCCGAACCACCAGTTTGGATTCAGAAGAAAACACTCAACCATTGAGCAAATTCATAGAATTGTTGAAAAAATACAGACCACTTTCGAGCGAAAAGAATACTGCTCAGCAGCGTTTTTGGACATATCTCAAGCGTTTGATCGAGTATGGCACCAAGGACTTCTTTACAAATGTAAAAAGCTTCTGCCACTTAACTATTATACGTTCATAAAATCGTATCTATTGAAAAGACTCTTTTATGTCAACAATGAAAATGAAATGTCTTCTCTACATGATATTAGAGCTGGAGTACCACAAGGCAGTGTACTCGGTCCAACCCTTTATCTGCTTTTCACATACGATTTACCGAAGACGGTAGGAATTGTAACCGGCACATTTGCAGATGATACACCTATCCTGGCGAGTGCAAACGATCCCTCTGTAGCCTCATTCAAACTACAAGCTGGTCTTGATCGTATATCAAAATGGTTGCAGTATTGGCGCATGAAAGCAAATGAAACAAAATCTACTCATGTTACATTCACAATGAGAAAAGACACCTGCCCGGAAATTAAACTTAATAATATAATAATTCCGCAATCAAATAGCGCTAAATACTTGGGCATGCACTTAGATAGACGTCTGACATGGAAAACGCATATTTTTAACAAAAGGAAATCCCTTGGGATTCAATACAGAAAAATGTTTTGGCTACTAAATAAAAAATCTTCAGTATCCCTAAAGAATAAACTTATTTTATATAAAAGTGTGCTAAAACCAGTATGGACCTATGGCATTCAATTATGGGGAACAGCCTCAACATCCAACATAGAAATTCTTCAAAGATTTCAATCTAAAACTTTACGGGAAATAGTAAATGCTCCATGGTATGTAACTAACATTCAAATCCATCGGGACCTTGGGATAATCCCGGTAAGAGATGAAGTAAAAAAGGTAGCTAGAAAATACCATGAACGAATACAAATTCATCCCAACATCCTAGCTTCGAATTTGATGTCCCCCTCAAATATATTTACGAGACTGAAAAGGAAAACGCCGCTTCAAATTTTATTATAAAAATCAAATTTTTTTTTATAAAGAAATCTTAAATTAAAAAGAAAAGAGTAGCTCTCTACAGGGAGAACTACTTTAATTGTAAATGATCAAGTCTCAAATAGTATTTATTAAAAAATTGTAAAATGTCACCGTACTATGTGACAGAATACATATTGAATTTAAATTAAATAAAAAAAAAAATAAAAAAAAAAAAAAAAAAAAAAAATTTTTATGATGGAAATATATCGAGTGTGATCTTTCACATATTTAAGCGAAATCTACTATCTTACTAAAAAATTTAATAAATATATATATGTATATATACGTTTAAGCGAAATCCAATACATATTATATATACATATATATATCTAAAGAACTACCAGATATATATATACATAAAGGATAGAGTCCTGAAATTATTTGCGAAAACTGACAGACTTACCAACACCGCGTTATCAAATCTCAAAATGGTTACAGGCTTCTCGGGGAGGTATGCAGATCTGAGGTCAATTACTGCTTAGTCAAGGTGAAAATAGGGGTTTTGAAGAAACCTCGATTTAAAAAAGAGTAGAAGTGCACTAGCTCAAAACAGCTTTAACATAATATATATGTATATATATTCATATATAGGTATATATTATATATATATATATATATATATATATATAACAGATATATATATCTAATTATGTCCAGATTTTGCAAAAAATAAGTTAAGATTGTTGAGTTGCGATGAACATTAACAAAGGTTTCAGGATTTTTTTATATTCATCAAGGAAACTTAGAAATTTGACATGGATAGCTGTATCCTCCTGTATCCTCTATCTCTCGATTTCCTCAATATCCTCTATTGCTTTTATTTTTTTTCTATTTTGAGTTTATGCATAATGGTAGGATATTGGCTGGTTTGATCCTGACCTCTATCCCATAACAAAAAAGGTACATATATAGGATAACTGTCAATTATTTCGCGAAAAAAAAATTTAAAGTGGATTAACATAAATCTCTATGTTCACAAAAAGTAATAGTTTAGTAGAGCTTTTTTCTTTTACTATCAGCCTTGTATATATAAGACAATATTTTGTTATATAAATAAATCTTGAAGATGATCTGCATGTATTGGTTACAACTTTGGGAAGACAGACAATTGTTGTATTGATGTCTACCAAAATAAATGTTCAATGCGATAATAAAATTTGATCAATTAATCGCTCTTTTGACTTCCGAAACGTATGGTCATTCATATGGATTCTATAAATCAAAGAACAGATAGAAAAAGAGAAGGAGTGGAATCTCCTCAAATGCAAAGTAAAGAGCAAAGCATAAAACCTGTATTTTTCAATTCAATGATGAGGAAGAGCTGTGTATTGAACTTTTAAAATCGTTACCGATTTGTGATTGGCGGTTTTTATATAGATATAAGTAGTCTCTGATGGGGTGTCTTGATGGAAACGGTCATGACTAAGTTTTACGAAACTTAATTGATGCGCTATTTTCGGAAATTGTGCATAAGTTTATTTTCAATTGATTTTTGAAAAATTTATAAAGCTTACAAGTAACGACTTGAATGTTATACCAACGATAAAGTATCTGCATCACTTCAGGAGATAACTAAGTAGTTAGAGTTTAAACAAAATATTAATATTATCACAACTCATGACAACTCTTACTTCTGTCTAATAAAAACTATATTTTATAGTAATAATATGTATGTAGTTGTATTACATATTCATACAGTTAAACTTCTATAATTAGAAGTACCATTTTGTAAAGAAAAGTTTCGACTTATGGAGACTTCGAGTTAAAGAATTGCATGTTATAATGCTCTCTCAACCCTGGTGCACTCTATTTAGTTCGAGTTATGAAAGTTTGACTGTAGTTATAATTACTATTATATATAAAACATTTGTATTACATCTTATTATTTTCAAATTTATTGTTTGATAAGTATTATAATTTAATTTATACTTGTATAAAGTATATGTTTCATATACTTTTATCTTATTATTATTGGAAAATAAGATATTATCGATCTTATTTTTAAATAAGATAAAAATAAAATAAAATAAGATAAGATAAAAAAAAAATAAGATATTATCAATCTTATTTTCAAATAAGATTACACCATAGTACTTAAAATATCTAAATAAATAAAATATATATTCTTTAAAAATACCAATAACAGTACAATTTAATCATTTTTAAATTTCCTGAACAATATCTTGATAAAAATTCATTACCAACCAAAATTAAAATCGGTTCCGAATGCATTCGAATCGTTTCCGAAAATATTAAATATTTCACAATAGTGTGTTTTGGTATGTTAACCCGAAATCGTTAAAAGTTTTTCATATTTTTTTCAACGTTACATAAATCAGTGTGTTAATTATGTATGTATATCTCGATTAAAAAATCCATGAACCATTCAAAATTAAAATTTTTAAACAAAAACATAGGCAAACTGGAATATAGACCGGAATTATTTTTCCCATTAAACGGATGTAATTTTTTCGAATATATTTTTGAATAAAAAATAAATTTTTTTACAGTTGTATTGTGGTTGATATTATTATATAGGCAATGTAAATACACTATTAAAAGAAAAATGTAATTATTTAGTTATAGAAATTGTCGCATTTTGTTTCAATATTACATTTCCATTTAAATATTTATTTATGATTTTTTTAATAAATATTCATCAAAAGTTTTAATTAAATTTGAATTAATATAAAATAGGATTACATAAAAAAATGAAATAAATTAAAAACGTTATATTATTTAATACAAATGAATAAACTTTCATATTCACCACAAAATAATTTTTTCAGTATTTAAATGATTAAAATTTATATCAACAGGAACAGCAAAAGGAATGTTTAAAGTTAAATCGAAATAGTCAAAGAACTAAAGTCATTAAATTTTTGAAAGTAAATTTTAATGCCATCATAAAACGCTTTTTGAGTGAATGCTATTAAACCAAAACAATGATTTTCTATCTCACCTTTCTCTAAAGCAGGATTATTAAAATGTACTTCCAGACGTACGTATGGATTATACTCTTTGCCACCAATTGGTAAGCCAGTCTCTGGTGGATATGTAAATGTGCTAGCGCCCATGGCCCATAAAGCAATCACTTTTGAGCAGACTTTAGCAGCTTTGGGCATTTGTTCACAGTCGCCATTGTAAATGGGAATTTCTACATTTGCTTCAGTTTCGCAATGAAACACTTCCAAGTGATGCACAATACTAGGCGAAGTAATTATGGGCTCAAATTGCACAATGTGATGTTTGTCCTTTAGAAAGTCATCAAGTTTTTGTATATGACACCAGTATGTAGTTTCCTTATTTGGGATCGGCACGTTTTTCAAATTGATTTCGATTTGTTTCATTTCGCTGTATAGAAGTTTGTATAAAAGCATTTTACAAATCATATCACTGAAAATGGAATGAAATTCAATGCTTACGTTTCGGGTATGAGAATTTTATCGGCTCTCAGTAGTTGCATCATTTTGATGCCTGACTCGTTTGACGAAACATTTGGCAATGCAAACTGATTATCTTCTAAGGCCAATTGATTTTCACCACGTGCCCACATTATGTACATTGTACCTTCCTATATGACAGATAAATTTAGTTTTGTTTCATTTTCCTATTTGAGTTTAGATAGAGTTGTACTCGTATTACATGTTTGATGTACTTACGTGCATTCTCAAATCCAAAGGATCGCAAGTATCGAACTTTCTTTTGAATGCTAATGTAAATTCATCCATTTTGAAAAGCTCACAGTCCTGTTGGTAGTCCTTTTGCACGTATTTGCCATCAGCACTAGTATAAGTGTCCGTTACAACATTAAAGAACCCGTTTTGATTTTCGAAAAAGCATATATCTGCATCAGCAAGCTCACCACGCTTTGAGAAACCCAAATAGAACCAGCGATGTTGTTCATTAAAGGCATTTTGTAAGTGGAAAAGTACTTCTTGCTTATACCAATCAACCATCCAACTGAGTTTTATTTCTTTGTTGTCTAAGTAAATTTCATGTAGTTTGGTATCTGACAAACCTGCAAATAAAAAAAAGGGAAATTAATTTTTCAATTTAATTTTGTTTGCTTTTAATTTTTTGTTATTTATTTATTTCATTGCTCCACAAATAATCCTTTTTTAAATTACTACAGCGTAAAGCATAAAAAAATTCTGAATCCACATTTCTTGGTAAAATTGCGGAGTTATTAGTGGCGCATGTCGATTAATGTCACTCATTCAGACAAATCACAGCAAAACCAATAAAATGTCAATAGCAATTGGCAAATATCCTCTTCCAGCTGATAGATTGAGAAAACGTAAATTACAATGGGGCGAAACCAATGATGAAGATTGTGTCTGTGAAAATGTTTTTCCATGTTAGCACATTGTCGAAGTGTTTTCTCATCCAGCAGCATAAATCTCCGAAGCAGTCGAAACATGTGTTATTAAATTGATGCGATTTTCTATGTGAGTGCGGAAACGATGTGTTCGAGACATCGTTTCTACTTGAGAGAAGAAATGTCATTTTAATACAAATTTCTTTCTTGTTAATTTAATTTCGGTATTTGTGTTCAATTTAAACAATATAAAATAAATAGTTTCTCTGGCAACATATAGGGAAGGCAATTTGCACAACAATTCGTTTAATAATCAAACATTATGTATACAATTAAACAGCTGAAGGGGTTTGTTAATTATCAGAATGGTTTACCATTTTAATTTCATATTTCACGAAATGTCAAATGATAAAATAGGATTAAAAGAAAATAGATTTTGTTATCAAAAAAGATTTCTTAATATAAAAGAACTGATGTGCTAATACATCGCTTTTTGTTTCAGTTCTAAAATTATACACATGATTATTGATGAATTAATGATAGGTTAGATTAAAGCGGCAATCCCAAAGATTTCACTAAGGCCTATAGACCCATTGTGTTACCGTATAATTAAAATTGATGTACATGTAAACATTATAAATAAAAGAGAGGTTTTGAAAAGAAGTGAATTACAACAACAAAAATTCTTTTTATATTATATCTCTATTAAATGCATTATTATCTAATAAGTAATAACTGACGTTATAAATAATGTTATTGAAGCTTAGTATGAATGCGAAAAAAAAAATGGAAAAAAAATATAGAAGCATCTATAAATACATAGGTTATGTTATGATGATAGACTAAAAAGAACACGTGTAAACCATCAAGGTCAATTGGCATACCAGCTATAAATATATAAATATAATAATAATAAGAATAATTTAAAAAATTGTAGTTACAAATAATTTAAAATAGTCATATATGGATTAATTGGAAAAGCAGTATATTGTAATATAAAATCTCTTATATTCTATTCTGGCTTAATTCATGTAAAAATGCTTAATTCATATGCTAACCAACATGTCATTATTAAATATTCGTAGTTTGATAGCTCGGATGATGAGGTGTAATGCGTTACGTATCGTCAAACCGACTACAGCCGGAATGGTGTGCCTGACTTTCTAACATAGAAACATATTGTATATGGACTAAAACACCGTCTCTACTTAGAGACTTATTTTCGCCGGGACCAATTTCACATTGAAATATTTATTGAGTAGGTATAATACTTCAACAAAGTACTGAACAACCTACATACAACTTGCGGCTGTAATTCAGCAGCTGAAATCTCAACATAAAGGTATCACTGAGCTTGGAAGCAAGAATGATCAGATTTTGATCGATATCAGCAATAATGTTATTTGTTGAGTAGAATACTTTAAGGAAGTACTAAACAATTCAACAGAAATTCACAGGTACAATTTGGTATCTGAAATATAAACGTCAAAGCCAATGAATGACTTGTGCCTTTAATGAATCAATACAATACTACTATCAGATTTATTATAAAGCCCATGATTTATAACGACACATAAGCAATCATCTGAGAATGAATGGGCTAAGCTTCTTAAAGTGGACTCCGAGCAGATATTTGGGTTTTAATGTTAGGGTTTTTATCTGGGGCGTGTTTTAACTAGTAAAGAAAGACAAGTAACAGTAATAGTCAAAATCATACACATAGTTATTTCATTCAACTAGAAGGTTTATTAATTGTATATATTTATTAAGTTACAGTATAAGTAAATTAAGTCACATTTCTCTGTTACAAGGAAGTGAAAGCTGATCTAAAAACGAATTCAGTCAAAACGAACGTTATCAAAAGTGGATATAACATTGAATGATTAACTGAATGACTGGAATGAATATCAAATCACTAGCGAAAAGTTAAAGAAAAGGAACGTCATCATTGGAATTCTGCTGATATTAATTGAAGTTATACGTTTGAATATAAGTTTACTTTTTGGAAACTAAGTGGGATTGCTAGATTGAGACACACAAGTAACCTCTCAGTCTGGTGCTCTAGCCCAGACATGTAACATATAACAATAGTAGTGAAGTTAAAGTTGCTTAACCAAATTCTATTGGTAGGGCAAATTTTGAGTGCAGAAATATTGTTGACTATCTATGCTTCATTGGGAGTTAGATGTAATAGCAAATAACTTGATTCATTGATAAGTTTTGTTGTGTTATAAATTTATGGGAAGGTGAATAAATTCAATTTTTAATTGTCAATTTCTTTCTTCTACTTATTTATTTTAGTATTCTTTAATATTATTTTTTTGTTCTTATTTGTTCTTATTGCTAAATTTGATGCAAAAGTCGCTTAATATATAATATATATTTTTTAAAATTAACAATTTATAAATGATAACTATTTTGAGTATATCATATTATGCAAAAACTTTAGTTTGCTAAACCAATTTTTCGTAAAACTTGGCCAATATTGGAGCTTCCCAATGGCGCCATTGAAGAACTATATGGTCCATATGTTATACAAATGAATAAAAAAAGTACTCAAACGCCTCAAGCTATTTCAAAAATTTATAGTTCTCGTTTAAATTAAAAATTTTTTATTTTTATTTCAAAATCTGTTGAAACAACAACAATATTCAACGATGAAATGAAGTTGAATATATGTTAAATTTTTGTATGTTAATATAATTACGAAAACGTTTTTGTTGATGTTTTTGCATTAAACAATATGAGCGAGTGGGTGTGAGTGAGGCGGGAAAAACGTCAACTGTTCTGACGACAAAATCAGTGAAAAATGTTTTTCATGCAAAATTTATGCATGAAATATAACATTGGGTTACCTTATGCGTAACAAATGTGCCTCTAAGAAATATTGTGGCAGTTTACATAACCCCTGAGATAAATGAGGGTACAATGCGGTGAAAATTTCCGACCAGGTTTTCCATTTACTGTTGTTCAAGGCGATGATATCAACGGCAGTAGAATCGTTGATATATCAAATTTTCACATTTTCGCACATCAAAATGGCTGCCTAAAATCATTTTAATGTAATATTTTATATCTTTGCCTTTTTGCACACGACGGTGTGAACAAATGAATGAAAAATTTAAATGTCAGAAATATTTGAAGTATTATAATTTATATATAAACAAATTTTGTATCCCAAGGATCTTGTATTGTCAAATGAAAAGGAAGTGCAAACATATTTGTAAATTTATAATTTATTGAAACTTTGTTATCATTTTTATATTCTATCAAATACCTCTCTAAAATTGAATTTGATGAAGTATTTGCTTTATGAAATATCTTATTTTACGGTTAGAAGAAGACATTGTTGGATAACTTTTGTAATCTGAATTTTGTAGGTTTATTATTTTATATGATTGCTCTAACTTTATTGGATTAAAAGGAAATTGAATAGACTTGTTAAACATTTAGCATTTGTATACAGTAGGTCACATGATTAATCTTTACGGAGTCCTTTTACAGTTTTGTCATGCACTAAGGGATTTTAATTTAAATTTTAATTTTAGAGAATAGTAATTTATTACATTCTTTAAATTGGATTTGTAGATATATAAATTTCTATATTAAAACTTGTATGTATGCATATTTGGGAAAAAACTAAATAAAGGTTGAATTATTTTATAATAGAATTTTTAAACAAAGCATCGTATTAAATTGAAAATATGGTAGTGTTTAATATGGGCTATTGTTGTTGACACCTTTTTTTATTACAGAAATATCTGAAAAATCTATTTTATCACGGAACTTCATTAATCTTATTCTTTTCTTTCCCTTCGTCATATTCTTATGCGGTATTGCTTAATTATGTCCTAAAACCCATGCTCAGTCAACTTGGATAGAATCGCGCTCTTCTTATTCTTTCCCTGAATAATATCGCAATTTGGTGTGAAGCATGATATATATATCCCTTAGAACCATGTACATCTAGATAACTTGAGTTTGTTTTTTTTTCTTGACGGTTTCTAAAATTCATATCTCTTTTCTCATTATGGATTCTGTCTGGACTTATAACATGGCCATACCACAGTTTCTATTATTAATCGCTTTCGTATACCTAATATGGATTTCGTTAATCATTTGCTTGTAGTGATCCGGAACCCTTTGTAGCATTTTGGAAGTTTATACTTATGTCTTTCTCTTTGAGTGTTTTTTGTTAAATATATAGAATTTTCATTTCGGTTACAAGTTTTAAATAGAATTTCTACCAATTTTTTTTTTTGCCACATGAGCAATGAGTTTGAGGGCCTCTCGTTTCATTAGAGAATATCTTTCTATTTCTCTGTGCACATTAGCAATGAGGGTAAGGGCCTCTCGTTTCAGTGGAGGCTATTTAAGCTTTATCTAAAATCTAGGAACTGTATTTATATATAGTTATAGTTGTTATACTAGTATGACACAGCTGGTTGCAATAGTCCAGTAAATCAACTAAATGATGTTTTGTTTCTTCAGTTATATACAAAAGATACGAAATCTTTTCTTCATCGTTAAACATGTAATAAGCTTCTGCTATCTATGTTTCTGTATTTGTATTTACCTTACATAGTCTGACTTCTGATATTTTAAATCACACTTTATGCTTATTTAATATGTAGTAATCAGTTATAACTTCAATCATTGCATTTTAATAAGATATCTTCAGATTTGTTAGGTATATTTTT